TGCTTCCAGAGCCTTAGTTTGTTCAATTTAGATGTAGCAGAGGTATTTGCACAAGCAATGTTTACTTCCTTTCTTAATGGCTGGAACAATACGTAGCTGAATCCCACCTCCTTCAGTTTTGTAAATACTGAAATTGATCCTTCTGAAGCAAATGTCTTTGGACACTGTATTTGCATCATCATGTCACTAATTATTCCTAGGAAGTAAATAATGTCAGACTTAGAAAAACAAATAACATACAAGTTTTCTAAGTTCTGAGTGACACAAGGTACGAACTAATGAAGGAATCCGACACTCAGGCTACGATTAGTACACTTTGATAACTGATTTTTTTTTTTTTTTTTTTTAAGATACCTAGCAAGTCTTCTAGTTCCTGTCAATAATCAACAACCAAGGGACCACAGAAAATAAAACTTGATCATTCAGCACAGACTGGATTACCTAAAATGACATTTCACCACCCATTCTGTAATTCCAACACTGTCTACTTTTCTTGCTTGCCTTTTCATCCCCTCATCTGGCAGCTCTGAGGTAAGGAATAGCAACACACAGTCAGCTCATCTGCTCCTTAAATTATACGAGACATGGGAAGAGTGGGTTTAAAGAAAGAGAGCATAAGTTATACATTATGAAGAAAAGCAATTACTGAGAAGAGGCTACTCGTCCATCTCCATCATTTTTAAGCCTAAAGAAATGGAAGTGCTAGTCACTGCTCTGTAATTAAGGCTGAAGTCTGCATCATAAAGAAGGTCTACTTCTTTCCATGATGCACCCTCTCCAAACAGAGCATTTGCTCTATAAAGCACAGAATGACTTTTGAGAATTTATAAATATTTTACTGCAAGCTCATTTTTATGACAAAATTAGGCACCCTGTGCCTTTTTTATTGTCCCACTTGAAATTAGTGCTAGAGGAACTCAGATATGAAATACTGCAGCAAAATCTCAGCATAACAGAAGTTATTTTTTCTAAAGCAAATGGTTCTGGATACTGCTGGATGAGACTGAGACTCCTTTTAAACAAGACTTCAATGATATCAGAGATAACTAAACTATTCTTCAACTGTAAACAGCTCTTCCTAAGTGTTACAAGACATTTATGCTCCCGTAGTGTTAGGAGCTCCCTTGGTGGAAGACTTCACTTCTGCCATCACTACACCTCAATAGTTCAGAATTGTTTTCTTGGCTTTGTTGCCCTGGAAGTTTAGTCAGAAGCACAGACAAGGCTGTAAAAAGCAGAGTCATTAAAAGTTGGAGACTAATGTATCTTTGAAATCCAATTCCATCTCCTTTGGGACAACAAACAGTAAAATGCATTAACCATAATTGTATGCTTATCTCAGGGCATCACTAGATGGAAGAATTAGTGTTATTCCAAATTTCAGCAAGCCAGGATTTGTTTTAAATGTGATTTTAATTCTAAGGTACTTGGATTTATAATTTTGGTCTTCAGTTAATTAAAATATTACTGTAACATCAGTAACCTTTAGATTACTAATACAGTCCATCCACAGTGAACTCTATTTTAATCAGCTGGTGATAATCACTGCAGCTACACTTTGTGGATCTATGCCAAATCTATGCCAGCTGAGAATCTAGACAAGTATATTTGTTCCCTTGCCTTTTTTTTTTTTTTAAAGTTCATACAAACTATGAACATTATACCCAACCGTGATTCCTCTTTTCTACCAACAATGGGTTTTGCACTGGTGCCCTCAAGTTTGATCTGTGCTGAAGACACCTGCTCTCAAGGAAATGAGCTGGAACCACCTACTCATCTCATAAAGGGCCAACCAAGCAGCTGTCACATGGCAGCAACTCCCAGGCAGTGCTAACCTGTAACAAACCTGAACCACTGACCTAGAGGTGAAAGGGTCTATATCCAATTACCAAACCCCCAAGTGCGGCACTATTAAGTTTTGCCTTGAAAACATAAATATGCAGAAAAGAATAAACAATAATGAAGTAACACAGATGTTGCATCATTGTTAATATTTTGCTATACACCAAATCTTGGAAATCAAATATATCTGTCACCAGCAGACTATCTGGGCTCTGTGTCTATGAAAAAAAGCCTATTAAGAGGGATGGACTGAAGCAATATTCTCCCTTCTTTGCTCTTATATCACTAGTGGAAAACAAGAATATCCACACAAGATTGTCGTGAGGAAAGAAAAGAGAAAGGTCCATTTCATGTTCTCACACCTCACTCCCCCCGCCCCCCCAATGAATTAACCTATGTAAATAACATTTTCCCTGCAAATGACTAAATAGTAAGCATAAAAATATCCTTATTCTGCGAAGTAAGCCATTTCCTCTGCCTGTAAGTTCGAGAAAAAAAGGCCACTTCATGACTGAGAGCCTGATAAAATGAGCTATAATGCTACCCAGGTAGAGCTCAGCGAAGAACACATTTTTCTCTGCTTTGGTTCCATTTCACTCACATTATTCTTGACAGTGTCACTAAGCAGCAGCAGAAGAGCACAATCTTCCCTTATTTTTAGCAATACTGAAGCTGCAAGAGAACACCTCTTTTCTTCTCTTCCAAATAAATATATATTTAAAAAAAAAAAATCTAACTTAAGCAGCAGTAACACAAAAAGCTGCCTTAATGATTTAATTTTGATAATTTACTGCAATTACTACATAATTATATCAATGCATCTTTATAACTCTGAGAATACAAGCTTTAGCTAAGGCACCGTTTAACAAAGGTAAGGAAAAGAGTTATTAGAAATGAGTCACTGAAAGTTCACTTTCTCTTTTAGGCTCTACATCGTGCCATGCATGGCCCTCTGGGTTTAGGTAGATGTGGACTGCGAGCTCTAGGCTGAGTGGCAGCTTGCCATCCATCTGCCCATCTTGCCAGCATCTTCCTCTGTCCCACCCAAGAGAACAGGAGGCTCAATAGAAAATATGCTGACAGGATAGCAAACGAACAAAAAGACTGTGCAAGTCCTAATTTCAAGCAGCAACTTATAGAAATTTTTTTTTAAAACCCCACAAAAGAGTCTTTTGTTATGGTTTCCAACAGTTTCTACCACAACGGCTGTCCCTGCTTGTAGCAGTAAACACATGACAGGGGAGTCACTTTGCCAAATGGAACAGTTTTTGTGCACTCCGCAGAGGTTTTGCAGAGCTGTTGCACTACAGCTTATTAATGCTCTCACCTTCACAGGCAGGGAGAGCCTTGAAGGCAGCAGAGCCAGTACAGAGGAAGGAGAGCCCTGGGGGTTAGCTCAGGGTTGGGATCTCAGTTCCAAGTCCAAGTCTGTCGCTGCCTTGCTGCAAGGCTGCAGACAAGTCTCTTCTCAGCTTTCTCCTTATGAAGAAAGGATAAGGGCACAAGTATCCTCTGCAAGCTGCATTTTGGATCCTAGCTTTATAAAAGCTGAACAATGCAATTACTTAAAGAAAGAGGCACTCTGCATGCACTAGAGAACTTCCCTGCCCTTAGTGAGTGGGACCACTTAAGTAGCAGAAGAGAAAGGGACAGAGAAACTCTTCCGTGACTTTTCTGTTGCACCCCAATGTACTTTGCATTCATTTCCAGAGTAGAAGTAGGCAACACGCAGCCAGAGAAACAGAGCAATAATGCTCTGAAGTCTCAAGGGAAGGATTTTTGATTTTCCTTACCAGCGCTTGTAGATTAACCTGGAGTCTCACTTGGCTCTTCACGCTCCATGCTGGGATCAGCATTTGCCCCTCAGAGGGAGCTGCCCAGGATGTGGTGAGTTAGCATTTTGAGAACCACGTAATCCCCCTCCTGCACTTAGACAGCTGTCAGGAGGGGGCTTGCAATGAAACCCACTACAATGGCACACCGAACGGCCCACCAGTCTCCACTGCCATATCAAAACCAAACCCGAAATCAGTCACGTTTACTCCCCTCAGGTGAAAGGATGACCAAGGGCATTCAGCAACAGATGCACTACGGACTCTTGCATTTCAAAACATTGTACGTATTGCTGACATGCACTGGCCTTTAAGGATCAGTAGCAGACTCCCCTTTAACCTTTGTATACTTTAACTTGGAATTTACATTTACAAAGTTGGCTTTTGCACTGAAATTGTTTAAGGCAGTCACTGAAAGAGAATGTGATATTTGTAGACCCGAAACTAGATTTTCTTCTTTTTGCCATTTTTAAAGTTTTTTTAATCACTGATAGTCTCTTTGGTACCTCATCCCTCCCAGAGGGGTGGCAAACTTTCTGGAAAGAAATGTACCTTCCTTGGTGTGAGCTTTCAAAACTGAAGCATCCTAGCCTTCCTCCCCAATCTGTAAAGGCAGTGGTTTGGATTTATCCCAGCTAAAGAAAGACGGGATGTCATGTAAGCAACACTTACCAACTACAAGATGAGAACAGATATTAGAAAACTAGTCTTGACAAGACTCCTAACCTCTAAGCAGCTAGAGCTTCATGTGCAGTATTCAAATTTGTTTTTACACAGTATTACTCCACACCAGCAACCACAAAGGGAGTCTCAGAAAGCCCAATACAATATTCACCAAAAAAATCAACGTGAGTGGGGTCAGTCCCTTAAAAGCCAGAGGGTTTGATTTACTTTTAAGGAAATACATTGGTGAGAACTTGGGCAGGGGGGAGGGGGGAAGGGGTGAAGAGGAGAAATCTTTCAGTTTGCCTACTCTATAAATCAAACAGATTTTCCCCTCAAATAAATATATAAGTGAATGACCATTTTAGGACTGATGTGAATCAGTCCAGAAGGAATAATTTTTAAGAAAGTTGTTAGTGAACGGAAACAGGTGGCTATAATCTGAGTTAAACTGCAACCTTAACTGTAGTGTTTGCTATCATGAACACTATAACAACAGATGTACAGTTGCACCTTGGGATGAATTCATTACAGCCTGAGAAACATAATCATGCCATTCAGACCATATTTTGTCCATATGCTCATGTGGTTTACACCCCTGGTTTATTGGCATTGTACTTGGTTATATAGCAGGAGACTCCCAGGATCATAATTTGCACTTACTGTTACTGTTCAGGAGAATCCCTTTGTAGCATGGGTTTCCCGTTAAGACAGAGACTCCCTTTCAGGAAGGCCTGGGTCACAGCCTTTGTGGACACGGCAGAAACTTAACATCACTTGGGAAGCTCTTCATACAAAAGGCATCGCATACCTCAAAGAAATAGAAAAAAAATAACCTGAAGTGTACAGGGGGCTACTGCTCAGGACATTTTACAGTTATAAAAATGTAGATTATATTGCTATCTTATCCTGTAATTTACGGGACGAATATTGTAATTCATTGAATGTCATGACTTATCTTTTATTCATATAGTTACTACTCCATTACCAGAGAGGGAGGTTTGTCAAAGGTTAATTATTTTAAATTGCTCAGGCAAATTTATTTTGATTTGTACATTTTTTTTTGAATAATCAAAGGGCTATATATTCATATTGCCTTACAAGAATTCATTTAATAATAAAAAGAGACCTCCTTGATGATACAGTCATATTAAACAAATGTTTTTGTAAGGACCAAAATTGGATTTACAACCCTAAATATAAAGAAGCTAAAAAAAAAAAATCATCATTGGTTCTTTCCCCCCTTCAGTTTTACTGTAAAAAAATTCCCTAGCAGTCTTAGACTGCTGAATTATCCCTCCCTTCAGCAATCTATTTACAAGTAAAGAGCATCTTGCCACAATCTCAAGACCTGTGTCCCTGAAGCAAGGACTATTCATTTTAATTGCTTCCAAAGCATCTATCACAACAGGCTCTTGATTTATGCTTCAGCCATGGTAAAAAAATAAGTAGTACCATAGTACTGAAGTACTTATCGCTCGGAAGTTGCCCATTGCTCTGTACCTCTTGGTTCCTAGAGATGCTCAGTTGTTCTCAATTCAGGCAGCTGTTTGCCATTCAGCTTTGAGCACCTAATGTAAGAGTACAGGCTCTGGAAGCGATCAGCAGATCCACCCAAAAATGAAGTGCTCTGAACACACTGAGCTAAATCCCCAACACGTGTAGCACGAATACCTCCCTCTCTGCTGACCCACGAGAGAAGCCCTGACTGTAACTGGAAAAACGCGTCTAATAGAAGGCTGGGACATGGACTGAAAAAAAAAAAAAAAAAAATCCAGGATCCCAACCCACAGTAAAATCTTTTAAACCCAAAACTCATCTTTTTTCCTTTTGAAAAAAAAAAAAAAAAAAAAAAAAAAAAAAAGTGGCTTAGCCTATTTCTGTGTCTTTTCCTGTAAGCAAAGTACAGATAATGATACTTACCCTGTAGGAGTGCTGGAAGTTTAAATCCAGGCACAATCAAGTGCTGTGAAAGCCTTAAACAGAAAGTGCAAAGCAGGTGCTGAGCACTGTACTAAAAAAATAATGACTATGCTTATTACTGAACTTCTGATGAGCCTGCTGGAGCTGTAATGGCAGGGAGGATAGTCCTTGAGGTTCAAGGGATCTTCATCTGGACCCTTTTCTGCACTTTATGTTGGTTTCTAACAGTAGTAACTGCTGCTGCTGAGACAGAAATGCTTCTTAGGAGGGTAGAGCGCCATAGCAAGGGAGGCACAGCTGCTAGCTACGTCAGCACAGCTGTGGATTGGAAGCCATGCTACCCAGCAGGCCAGGAACAAAGCAGGAGGTACAGTGGGGATCAGACCGTGCTGGAGAGGGCTTCATTTTCAGCAGCTCTCATAATCAGGGAGCTACAGCAAACGGTACCTCTAAGGGCAGATTCAGATCCTGTGCTGCAGGGTAGTGCTGGATGAGCCTGCGACAAAGTACTGCAACACACCTGCTAGGCTCCACCTAGCCCAGCCAGGCAGCACAGGTTGCAACACCAGTGAATTCGACTTCCTTCCATGCCATGCTGTAGGCAAGAGGGCATGAAAGGGGGTGATTTGGGGCAACCGGGAAGGAAATGGATCCTGCCACCCCCTTGCCTTTAAACACAGCTGCACTACGCTCCTGGAGATCTGCAGCTCCCCCATCTGTGAGGCTCCCCATGGGGGAAGCACACAAGGTACGGGTCTTGGCCACACGGTACCATCAGGACTTCAAAGCTGGCTTTCACTGGCTCCCTCCCAACTCGCCACCACCTCCCCCACCACAGGCAAGGCTGCATTTGCATTCTGCCTGTCCTCAGACAGTACTGTGTCTTACGGGCCCTCTGCCAGCATCTGCTGTGGCTTTAGCCAGAGAAGACCACGGCCTAAAAATCTACCTCAGGTTACCTTGAAGTCTGGTAGCTGGAAAATAAAGCAATGTCCTATTGTTCTACGCTCCCGCAACCCTTTGTGTTTTCATAAAGCTCTTGGACAATATTGGGGGTGGAGGGAGAAAAAAAACTCCAGGGAAACAGCTGATTAGATTCTGGCAAGGCGGACCAAACATCTGCTTCAAACAAAAGACATCTGCATATTTCACATTTATTTTTCATAATTTACAGAAGCAACCTGCCAAAATTTAGCAAGGGAGAATAAACTAGCACATAATTAGCTAAAGTTTGCTTGCTTTAGAAGTTATTAGCATGAAGCCCAGCAGCTCACCTGGGAGGACATCAAGGAATGTAGATAACTACAGTTTGATTTTGTAAATTCAATTTTTGATCTCGTGTGCCAGGCCAAAAAACAATGTTGCCATGCCAATTAACACAAGCCAGCAAATGTTCTGATGTCCCCATGTCATACACTGTACAGCTGTCTCAAAGGCATTGATAACACCGTTTATTAAATAAGGATCGATTAGACAGACATTTTTTGTTCCAGTTTACATGGTACAGCAGGCTGTGGGTTGGAGAGCAGAACAATACTTTTTTTAAATCAGGAGGTACACTATGTGCAGTGTGTACAGATGGTAGAATGAGCACTGGAGAAGTGGGCATGTGAATTTTTCAAGGCAGCCAAAAAGTCTTTGTTAAAAATGTAGAAAAAATACCCAGGAATGTGTATGTCCTCAGGGAGCTACAGTTTTTTAATTGAATTTTATCACCTACTGGGTCATTAGTACATCTGATAGCTAATATGCTTATATTTTTAATACAGTTAAGTGGAACGGCATGAAATCCTGAGGTTTTGAAATTCAGCTTTGAAATCAATAGGTGTTTCACTAAGTATACTTACCAACTCAGTATTTGGCCTGTACAGGCAATAAACAGGAACAGGCAGAACTTCAGAGTGGGAAATCCTGCTTTTGCTGCAAATGGGAGTGGAAAAACTCCTGTTAATTCTGACACAGCCAGGGTTATATACCCCAGAGTTGAAACAGGAGTTGAAGAAATAGGAAAGGGCTTTCTTACAAACTCCAAATTAAACCCAGGTTCATACAAGCATCTGCAAATCTTCTGGATGAACCAAGGTAGAGGTTTGCCCTTCTCTCTCTGAGATTTACTGTTTCAGACAGAAACCATGGGAAACTCACTCACTTGGACTGAATTCTGCTCCACGTTTCAGATTTATTTGAACCTGAATCTCAGAGCAAAACTCAGGGAGCGAAAACTCAACTGCCAAAAAAATTCTGTCAACCCCAAAGGAACACAAATTGCCAAATACAGCACAGCTCTAAAAGACATTTCAAGATCCTTAATCTGGGCTTTATGGCTTGCACCTCTCCACAATAAAATGAATCCAAAACTCAATCTGAGCACCATGAACTTTGTGGGAGTGGAGGGGAATGTACGAGAGAGTGAAATAATAGCACTCAGATCTGGGAGGGCTAAGTTCTAAGGTTTTGCATCTGAATGCTGAAGGATTTGGGCAAGAGTGGTCACAGGTAGACTGGGGTAGAAGCCTCTCTTTGTGCCAGATTGAAACATTCTCACCTAAACAGGGACTCAGAGCTTTGAATCATGCCCATCGCTATCTTAAGACACTTTTTTCCCTATGCAGACTTACTGCAGTCGAGTCATAGAATCAAAACCACCTAATTTGACTACATAAATGACAATCTCTAACATAACAATCTCTGTAATATTAAGTCGTTCAGATGCAGAATTTGAGCTGGTACTAAAGGTGACTATTGCATAATTATAATAGCCACCTTATATGCAGAGCTTCTCTCTCCCTTGCTACCAACACAATTCAATATCATCATTTCCTTCACAAGTGAGGAAAACTGAGGCATAACTTCCCAGACACAAACTTCCTTCTTGGCAGATGCAAGGGACAGGACAGAGATCCCACTGCAGTGTCAGCAGCAAATACAACCCATTTTTCATTTTTTGGCTTTTCAAAAAATAAAAAAAAAATCAAGAATGATACAGCGGAACTAAATGACTAAAAGCCTGTGTTGGCCTACACTTACTGCAGGATGCTTCTAACTAGAGATACGTAAAGTAAATATTCACTCATTTCAAACATGCACTTAGTTTCTGCTTGAAGAAATTCCTAATCTTGTTTGTCTGAATGAATCAAGACTTCTGTTGTCATTCTAGGTTTATTAAAATAGGATTCCTACAGAACTGAACTGCTTCTTCCTGAGCTACTCTTTTTAACCGAACATTTTGAAACAAAATATAATTTCAAACAATTAGAAGCACTTCACTAAGGGTATCAAACTGGTTCTGAAAATCCTGGGACTTTTCATTTTGCAGTAAGAACCTTTGAATATGGATCTATCTGTCAGCCAATCTGTAGCCAAGCTTGCATTTACATATTTTAGACCCCCCCCCAAAAGTTTCACATTAAAGGTTCTATCCAGACGTAGCCATTCTGAATAATCCCCATCTAACTTAAAATGATGATCGCTGTATTGGTGCTACTGAACTTTGCTAGGAGGAATCTCTTCCTTCAATTATCTACGTACTGTATTTAAAATATTCTTCAGTCACTCCATTTATCTGCTTTTAACCACTTCCAATTTGGTTAACACGGAGTTGGCCAATTTCCATTGCCTTGCTTGAAACAGCCACAAGATGAGCTCCTGTTGCTTGTTCAAACTGGACAGGCTATTCTACATTCCTGTCTGTGGGCCTACGCTCAGGAAAGCACCGAAGCACTTCCTTAACACACAAGTGGGACTTTAATCCTCTGCAGAACCAGGATTTAGTTACACTGCCAAAATCACCACTTTGCACAAAGATTTTTATTGCGTGGTCACTAGCAGGTGAACTGAGAACAACTATTTCTCTTCTACAGACTGTATTTCTCAGAAAGCAACTTTTCTGAGTCCCTACCACTGAGGCTGCCTTGCTGCCAGCTCCCTACAGCCCCTGCATCTCTGTCAGGATTTTAACCTGCAGAAACACCAACAGGTAAAAACAACGTTTTTTCCACTGCTCTGGACATAGTATGAGATGAGCAGCAACAGACAAGGACAGTAGTAAGCAGACAATATTAAGCAGTAGTAAACATCCATCTCCATTGGATGGATCTGTTGTAGTGTTCACTGTGGTCTGCAGTGTCTTAAAAAAAAAGTGAAACTGTGTGCCTATGCAGGCCCTTTTCTTAACATTACATTTGATCTCATTCACACATGGAATTTCATTCTCCTGCTTTGTCATTATTCAACTTGTCTGTTCCTTTTAATTATACATACAGCAATTTATCATATATATTTTGTTATGAAGATTTAATTAAACATATATTAATACAGTTTAATGATCTTGCCAGTGACCAAAATTCTCCTGTGGATTAAACAGAAAAGGAGGCATTGAACATAAATTTGTACAGCATATAAACAAAACACAGACAGCCTTGTAAAGCAGGAAGAAAAACAAGGCCTACATGGCCAATCTATTTCAAGAATGTTACAAATGGGAAGCATTTACTATTTAAAAAACATTAATCATATACTCACTCCATTTATTTACTTCTCAGCCTTCTTCATGTAAATCTTTCTTGAAAGTGTGTAAACACTTTAGAATTATAAACAAAAAGTGAAGTCACATTTGGTATTTCACCTGTTTACACTGTAATTACTCAATGTTGCTGAAAGCTGATGAATTAGAAGTTTTTCATTTCTATTTGCACTTTTTAGCTGGAAGGAATCTATTTCATATTTCAGTATAAAAGTATATGAGTTACCACTAGATGAGGTAAGCTGCAAACCTGCCTATATGTATGCTCTGACCTCATGGATATTCGCCATAGGTTTCCTTACATTTACACATCAAAAGACATTTGGCAGTACCTACGAGTAGATACTCTATATAGCTAGGTATTAAAATACTTGACAGGCTAATAAATTCACTTTCTAATATACCCTGTGATAAGCTTTTGATGACATAAGCCCTCAGTCTTGTGTCACCATTCCATGTTTTATTTGTCTTGGAAAAAGATTATGGACATGTACAAGGTCAGAGAAGAGCTACCATTGCTCAGCACAATATAAGCAGGAAATAAGCAGGTTCTGCAATGCCTTAGCTATATGCCTTTTATTTTCGTTCTTCTGGAAGCTGATTTTAGCTTACTTTTTAACTTGAGATATGTTGCACAGCCCAGTAGTCTGTTGCTTTTCCTTAGTTCTATGAAGAAATGGTTGAATTTTTTTTTTTCACGTTCACAAGGCTGGACAGGCCCTGACACAAGCAGAGACCTTTTGATGGTAGCCAGAAAACACCTCTTGCAGTCTCAGCCCTCTCATCCCAGTTCTCCCAGGACTGTAATTGGGGTAGGTCCAGGCTCAAACCACCAGCCTTTCTCTGCTTCCACCACAGAAAAGAATCTCCACTGTATTTTGATTGGTACATGTGATGAAATGAGCACTCTCAACTGTAAGAGGACACAGGTAGCAGAGATGCACCCTGCTTGCATATTACAGGTGTCCCGGTGATGCCACATGTCTGCCCTTCTCCAAGTCCTTTATTTTTTTTTTTTTTTTTTACTCTCCATTTGAAAGCAGAGAAGCCATTAATAAAAAATTCATTTCCCACTGTGAGGGAAAACACTTTTACGGGCAATTAATGTTTGCAACACTTACATAGACTTAAAAAGAAAGCCCTACAAAAGTCCAACACTGTTTATTTTGTCCCCTTCCTGGAATTCTGATCAAAGCCAGTTTTCAACTCATGCAAGAAGAAAATGAAGCAATACGTAGCTGCAGCATGCTCAGAGTGCCCTTTCTGGTTCTCATCAGTGCTGCAAAGCCAGGTGAATAACAGTGGTCATCCTACAGCCCTTCTCACTTTTAGGCAGCCACAAAAGGACACAAACAAGTGCAGCAGTTAAGTTAGCTGATGACTGGACAGCTTTGTGGAGATAATCTACAAAGGTAGGTGTGACTGAGCTAAACACACTGAAAAGATGCATGTTATACATCCTTGAGGTCTTGTATCCTGAGCCAAGTTTGAGACTCCATGGATTATGCAGAGGGCCTGATTTTATACACCAACAGGTACCAAGCTTGGCAGGTAAGTATATAATGACACTCTGAATTGCCATACACATGAACCTCTCCCAAACTCCTTTGATCACATCGAGCCCAGCAATGTACTTGCCTATGTGCAAAGGCCCACAGAGATCCCCTGCAGCATCTCATCATCTTGCACAGCAGTAGTAAGTCTTCGCTTCTCCACTGCATCCACAAAGCCATTGTCAAGCTAAGGATATGTTGAATACAAAATATGTTCATACAAAAAAACGGCAAACATACCTTTCCAGAGTTAGCACTGGTCATCCTGGAGCAAGGTACTAGCCTATCTTGCCAGCCGCAACAATTGAAAAATTCAAGAAGTCAGATTATAGTTTTCAAACTTCTCTATTCCAGCAAGGGCATTTAAGACCTGAAAGAGAGAAAAAAGATTCTATTAATGATAACAAGATCCGTGCTGATCATTTCTTGTGCTACACTAAGGACTATCCTTCGCACTTTCTCTCTGAAAGCACCGGACTAAATTTCTAATATTATTGAAAAGGGCAGCCAGCTCTGGTTTGCAACATAGCAGCTGCCTGTTGAGAGGCATTCCTCTCAACACCACTCCAGCTGAAGCTGGAAGGTCAACTCCAGTTTAAGAAGAGGATGCAGGTACTATACTATATTCTTTGAGAAATGCAGTGACCAAGGCTCATATCCTCTGAAATCCTACCTCCTCCTGACTAGAGGATATGAGTGTTAAACACATCTACATCTCACTCTATAAAAACAGCACCTCCAGGAGCAAAAGGCCTTCTCATGTGCTGATCTGGTTCTGGTAAGGGTGTCATCTGTTCATAAATATTCCTTGGAGATTTGCTATGCAACCACTGATCTGAACCAAATCTGTTTGGACTACAGAATTTTCATCACGATATCACAAGCTGGTGTTGCAATATACACAGAGCTGAAACAAAGAGGATTTATTATTCTATTGAAAGATCTCAGCCAAACTTGAATAAAAGCATCACATATTGATACTTCTGTAAGATCATAAACTTGAATGAACACCAGCTGAAGAATAGGACAATGGTAATGCCAGATGACAAAGTGATATAGTCATCATATTCATCAACACCAACAGCAGCCGGTCACTTCCTCCCCTTTGCTGAATTAGCCATGAAAGATTGTTTTAATGATAACAAGAATGTGTTAAAAGCATGCATCTCAGTGGCAGTTCAGAATGGAAAACTCAGAAGCCCACATCTGAGGGGATGGTTAAAAAAAAAAAAAAAAGATTTGCTAGGAAGAACTAAAAAGAGGTGAAAAAAAAAATCAAAGTATAACTGTGTAGTAGGGGAAAAAGTAGATTAAAGACTAAAAAGCAGGAACAAGTTTGACACTAAAAACATACTGCATTATTCAGACTTGTGGAAGAGTGTGTGAACAGAAGTGATGACAAAAGCTACAAAATTCAATATGATCACTTGAAGGGTGGGAGTTTTTGCAAGCAAACACACTACAGCAAAGGAGAGTATCAAAACATTTGAAATAAACATTGAAATTTTACACATTGAGTTACAAGCTTGTTTATAGGCTTCACGTGGTCTTGTTTCTTTGTAATCCTGAGAAGTCAGACAGCTGCACTGTACACATGGCATTTTCCAGTGACAGTGGCATTTTCAAAGGAGAAATCTGTTCAACAATTTGGTACTTGGGTCTCTGTTTTGAGACAAAAGCATCCATAACGATGTCAGTTGGAGGAAAAAAAAAATCATACCTAAGGCTTCAAGGACAAAGCCATTAAAAAAAAGGAATGCCTTTTTACTTCTGTTCTTAAATTACTGCAGGTTCACTGATTTATCTTTATCAATTATAGTAAGCACCTGCTTACATAATGTAAATTCAGGATGTATACAAGAAGAAAAAGGCTGTTTGCTCATTTTTTCCAAGCATCCAATCAAAGTACAGTCAAAAAATAAAAGAATGGGTGAAATAGTTTCAATTCATTAAAAAGGAGAAATTTTCAGGTTTGGAGATTTTAGTTGCTTTTTAAAAATCATCATAAATTTGACATCTCCATGTTTCAGGCAGCTTCCCAAGTATAAGTATCCCATCAGCCACGCTAAAGCCCCTCTTGCTCCCAGCCATCCATCACCCCAGGAAGAGTGTATGTCTCCGGGGGCAAAGGGGAGGGCAGGTTACAAAGCAGCAGCAGAGGTCAAAGACAGGCCTGCACTTGGGTTTTCCCTGCTGTGTTTCCTTCACAGCTGCTCCTACCATGGATTTATAGTAAAGCAGGGAGCAAAAGTACATCCACTGTGGAAAGGGTCTAAAGCACCCACATGCATTTGCACTTCCTTTCCCTGAACCTCCCAAAATTAAGAAACCCGAGGCCTGATCCAAAGCGCACTGGAAGGGCTCATCAACTGCAATAGGCTCCAGACCAACCTGAAAAAATAAAATGCTTTTATTCAGACTGAGCAGCATATTGACGATTTCCTACATTTTTTTCAAGCCTCATTAAAGCCACAGGTGCAGGGAAAATGGTTACTAAAGCAGTAATAAAAATATGAAAGACTACTTCACCTATGAGCCTGTGATGGGGTTATTTGTTTGCTTTTTTAACCTAAATATTTGTTTTGGAAGCACTACAAATACAGAGAAAGACAGGAAAAGAAAGATTATCTCATTACTGTCATGATCTCGCTTTTTATCAGAGCCACTTAGTCTTCTGCAAGGCCTAGGGGCACTCAGGAGAAGACTGAAATACTTTAGTGAAGAATAAGTAGGTAAAAAAAGCAAACTACAAATGAATTATCTGTAGCTTGTACCACTTCTTCCAAAGCCTTCAAAAAAGGCTGCCCTTCATTTGCAAAAGAAAGCACTGTATGAGGTCCAAACAGAAGTCTGTCACACACCTTTGAGAGATTTTTGCTCTGTGGCAGTTCTTCCAACCTTAAGTCACTGACCTCTCTCCCTGTAAAAATACTTTCTTGCAACCTGTGGTGACCCCTCAGTTTTTACCTGAATAATCAGTGTTGTTGAAACACTGTCAGAGAACTTGTGGCGGCAAGGGGTACACCTTTCCGAAATCACAGAGGGGATTTTTCTCAGGGAAAACCCCACTGCCAACAGGGCCATGGAAGTCAGTCAAGCTGACTATTGCTACGCCTCTCTGTATTTTAGTGAACAGCTACTGCTTGCCAAGACAGCCTTCTCCTCCTGATCCACACCCATTTTTTTTGCGATGGGCACCTCCTCCAACTTCTTAACTAGGATGATCTTGTGTGTTACACTAGGGGACAGTGACTCTTGGTTTGGAACAACAGCCAGACACTCTGCTGCGTAGGAGCTAAGAATTTCAGAAATGAGGGTTGAGAAGTTCAAAAAAATGTCAACGTTATTTCCTTTGCAGGTGATGGAAATAAAGTGCTTTCTGTGGCCTGGTTTAGTTTCATGTCAGCCATGCAAATATTTCAATAACAGAAGCCAAAACAAATTTTCTAAGAGCACTAATCAAAAGTCCATCAAGTTTCATACAAAGACTGACTTCAGTAAGCTTTCGACTAGGCCACAGATAAATGCAGAACTTGGAAAAAATAAAGACAAACTTTAGTGCAGGCCAGACCTATTAAGAGAAACTTGGAAATGCCAAAATTTTGCAGGATTTCTTCCTTTGACTCTTTCAGGACTATGCACTTCTCTTAAGAGAGAGCATCTTCATACAGAGCTTGCGAGTTCACCAAGTGGTTCTACAGTCACCTGAAACACTCCTCTACACCACAGGGAAAAGGAAACGAGGGTTCAGTCTTTTACACAGCAAGCTGCCAGGAGAGTGAAAAAAAAGGTATTCACTGAAATAGGGTTAGACTGAAACTATTACAACTTTCACCATTCTCTGTCCACCTTTATGCGATCCTCCAGGTCCCTTAGACTGCGTTACATCAACATAACCTTTCAATTAAGTGGAGTAGAGCAAATATATAATAAAATGAAAAAGTGCAGGTTGTCAGTTTCGATAATTTCTGGAAGACTTACTTAAACTTATCTGGACACAAGAGTCACCTTTACAATTACTCCCTCAAAGCCTTATGTTTCTGTTCCACCTAAGAAGATGTTTAAGCACATTTGCACTACTAGCCTGAGTGTTCAAGACCAATCAGGGAAGAGAGGTTTTAAGATGATCATATACTTTAACTTGACATTTTATTTCTTCACCAATATTAACTTGGTGCCCTAAGTCCATTTCATTTTTCTTATACAGTGACTAGGCAGACAGTAGAGCTGTTTACAGATAGATTTGTGAGGTCTTTTTGTGCAATACATCTCCCATCACACAGACTAGAACAGTATTGCAATGTAGTATTTGAGGGAAGTGTATTGTAGTGTTCCAGGGCCAGATTTATGCAGTTATTTTGGCATCTAGATACTTTTTCAAAGACAGCCTAAAGTGCTTAATAATGAAGAGAATTTCATTCCCAGCATTCATCCCAAAACAGCAAGACAGAATTTGCCAGCTCCTAACAGAATGAATTTATGTAGTGTAACAAGAAGGTTTTTACATTATTTTCTGTCAGTCTATTTAGAGATCAAAACAGGTATTTTTATCCAAGTACCATTTTTCTGCTTCTAACTTTTAATACACTCTCTCATACCCCTGAACACATATCTATATGTGAGCCCACTACAAACTCAATCATGTAAAATATTCTTAAACACCGCTTTACTTGTATCGGATGAGGGAACATATGACTTCATGATCATTTTTGATCCCACTGAAACCAGTAAGGGTTTGCTATTTGTTTCAGTTGGAGAGGGAGCTCTCCCCTTCAGCAGAGGTCTCTGATAACAACTTTTCCCCACTGCCCCTTCCCCTAAGGAAATATAACTCTACTGGCATTCTATAAATGCACCTTTACATTTATAACAAAAATTTAAATGATTCAAGGCAATAGCAGAATCTTGTGTGTTCTGGCAAAGCACTGATTTTCAGCAGGGAGAGTTTTGGCTCAAGTCTAGAATACAGTCTATTCTTTGGCACTAGGGATTTGAAACATCTTTGTGAAAACGCAAACATGGGATACCTGCCTAGAATGGCCCAAGAAACATTCACCTTACCAATAAAAACAGAGGCCCCCTTAACTATTTCCCCTAAAGGGCAGGTATTCATCTAATCACATCTGCAATCCTTTCCAACACTGTTCCTGCTGCTAATGCTACTCTATCATGATCTGATGGTTTAATCCTAGTTATTAAACTGCTTATTCTAGTTAATAATAAAAAAAATGTGGACAAATGCCGGCCTGTCAGTGCACCAACCTCAGAGCAAACACTGTGAAGTGGGCCCCCTGCTTTCTCTAAGCAAACAGAGAACACCATTTCGAATTCAGAGTTGCAAAGAAAAGCTCCCAGATCTAATGAAAATATAGGCAAATTTACCAAGGTGAGGTTTTTTTAATCTTTAGACAACAAAAAAAAAAAAAAACAAAAAAAAAAAACACAACAACAAACCCCAGTCTTTGCAAATCTAGTTTTCCCTACTATGCACAAAGAAGTTCTTTTTCATGGTCTCAGCAGACAAAATATAACGCATACATAATGCATACATAATGTTTGAGCCAGCTCTGATATACTTTCACTCAAAATGTTTTTAACAAAAACCGATTTGTTAACAGATGCATCAAGTTCTTCATGATTTTACAGGGGAAAAAAAAAAAAAAAAAACAACCAACCAACCAAAACAAAACAACCCACAATTCCAAGTCTTCATTTCCCAATGTTTCATTAAAACCAAATAGTTTTTAGATCCAAACGATAAAACGTTGGCAGCAGCCTGTGCTGACTAATAAGCCATTTTCTGTTGAAAACACAATATTGATGTGAAAATCGCCAACTAGCTTTAAAAAAAAAAAAAAGTATTTATATAGCTATAAATAAAACAGACATGCCAGATAGACAACACACCACATGTGAAAACAAACTGAACTCAGCATAGCAAGAGGTTTCGATTTCCATCAGTGCAAACTTGAACCTTGTCCACACATTCCAAAGTACGGGACTGGATGGATTTGTCAAAATCCAACGGCACAGCCCAGAAGTAATCCATTGCACAATTCATTCCCTGCCGAACCACATGCACGTGCGCTAGTTTGGTCACACAAGAAGATAACCTCTAAAAATCACTGACTTAAAGTCTGAAATGTTAATTGCAGAGTTCAGACTTGTGACTTCTGGCTCAGCATAGAATTCTTGTTTCAGACTTCAAGGCTAAGGCCATCACTTCATTACTCACTGTTCTGTTTCAAATCCATTTCCCCTCATAGTTTGTTCCTCCAATTCATCCATCACAAACAGGCATGGAGAAGGCTAAGGCACTTCTTAGGAGGCAAAGAACTTCCACTACTGCTTGGAGGTTCCACTCAAGACACTTTGACAATATCTGAGGTCTCAATTCCCTTATCACGCCAGTCCCTTTAGATCCAAGCCATGGAAATTACTGAGTCAGAGCACTGCTGTGAAAAAAAATAGGCAGGTTTCTATCAAACAGAAGATTTCTTCTCAGCAAAAATTGTTAATTTTCCACCTGTTCTACTATTAATTATTGTTAATGGAGGGAGATGCCAGATAAGAACAAGAGCTCTATTCTTTCTGCTGCAGAGGTTTCATTTCTAAATATCAGACAGGAAGTATACCTTAGAGCTCACTTCTCCAAAGTGCTTTGGTTTTATTAACTCTAAAGTAGTACTACTGGATTTTAAATTACGGTCACTACTGTCAAGATGATTACAAGAGGTTATCTATTGATAGACAAGACTTTCTCCCTTCCTCTCAGACAAACAGCAAAACTAATTGCATGTCCCACACTGAAAGATATCTCAGAGGCCAGGTGCCTCCTAGAGAACATGTTTTTGGACATTTCCCTCAGTAACTGAAGTGCATTCCTGCAAGAGGGATGCATCCAGATTCCTAGCTTGGCAGCAACGCTAGCTAATCCTTCTGGTCCCTCACCAGCCTGCACATGGAGGCCTCTGCAGTGTCAGGAGTACAACACTACATGTCAGTGCCGCTGCTGATAAAAGGTCTGAGGAAAGTCACAGCAGTAAAAGGATGTGACAACTTTTACCCTCAGTTAAAGGACAGAAGAAGGATACCCAGTATCACAGTTACAGCTGAGGGTTCCCACCCTACAGGACAACCCTCTTTTCTGCCACTGTTTCTGGTCCCCACCTTTATCTCAGCCAGAGGGCCTAGGTTGCCTTGGCCCTGTTTGTTTTGCTGGGCTAGTTTCCTGCTGTTTTTGCAAAAGCACCCAAGCTGAAGCAAGAGAAACAGCAGGAACACATGGCCAGGAAGTATCAGCAGGCTATTAGATCAGCTCATTCATCTTGTGGTACCTCATCTGTAACTGCCTAAATTAGAAATACAGTCTCCTTAGTCCCATACATAATCAAGAGAGAGACTTTAAGTGTGATTCAAAATGCACAGGGTTAGTCCTTTCACAGGAGGTTTCAGAAGGGAAGCTTCAGCCCTCCCCAGAAGAAGCCTGCAGAGATTAACCTCTAAATTTAGGAGTGTTACATCAAGGCAGAATGATTAGTCCCCAAAGAAAACCATTCTTGAGCTGAATCATCCACTGCTACTGAGATTTACCTAAAGCAGGCAAAATGAAATCAATGCCTAAAAAAACCACATCAGGGAACCTCAGGGCAGGAACAACAAAGGCATCCAGAAGCCTCACACAGGGTAGTGACATCCTGGCAGCCATCTGGCAGGAGAGGACTCGAGTCCCTCAGACCTATTTCCAGCAGCATTTACTCACAGAGGCAGCCACTGCTCATTCAGCTCCTGGGGCTTCATGGATTGCCTCATCTCCAGTGGGGCCAGGAAGCAAGAATTTGAATTCAAAGTGCGTTTTCAGGTAACACATCAAATCGCCTGCTGTTAGAATAACACACAAAAGAGAAAGGTATGGATTAGTCTGAGATGCACTCAGACACAGCTGCCAGGCCTCTGCATTTCAGCTAGATTAGTTCTCCTTTCTCTGGTGCTGTTAACAATGAACATGAAGAATGAGTCTTTTGACCACCTCTGAAGGACGTGGTACTGGATCTGAGGAATTCTACACATTGACTGAGGAGGTAGATACTGATGCTTTTTTTCCTTCCCCTGTGCTCATCTCAGCAAAGTGTGTGCAGGTCACAACAGAATGGCCAGGTCCGAAACACTGTATTAAAGCCAAATACAACATCCAAAAGACCTTGACCTTGGTCCAAGTTTCAGCCATTTGAGTCAATGGTAAGACTCCTGCTGGGGTCAGTGATCTGTGCTAATAATCTTCAGTCCTTTTTGGCAATTACCACCCAAGTGCGCTTCCCAAAATCAGAAGAGGACCAAATGCTGCCATGCAGTCCAAGCCGCATTTTAAGACACAGTACACATCACCACAAACTACGTTTTATTCACTCTTCTCAGAAGAAATAGAAAGAGTTAGGGTGTGGTGGAAGTGGTTTATTGACAAGCTTGAGGTGAACATCCTATGAATGGCTAAGCTTTTGCTGAGTAATACTGACATCATGCAAAATGACTTACTATAAAAACCTTTAGACTACACCACACTACTGTTTCAAAAAGTGGCAGCTATTTGACAGATGCTCAGAGGTTCAGGATTTCAGAACTAGACCTAAAAAAGGCAGATTAATGAGCAGATGATGGTGAGGTAGTAAAGTTGCACACTAAATGAAATTTAGCAGATGGCTCTGCAACTATAAAAATCTCCAGATTCCTAGATTAGATAGACGGGAAGGACACTTCCTTTATTTTCTTGAATTATTTCTGCCTTTTCCTTATGACTTTGGCAGTATTGCTGCTATCTTCTTTTTAAATAGTGCAACTTTCCAAATTTATTTTCCCTTCTGCTTTAAGCATAATGGATCTCATCGGACAAACTTTCTACTCTATCAACATGAAGGAAAACATTAGGGCACACATTCGGAGCTGCATATGCACAGCCCCATGTTTCCTAGGAAACAAGCGATTGCTCATCTCTGTGCCGAAATAAATTGATGCATCGGTTTCGGCTTTGTACAAACATTAGTATTTCGATTCAGGACAGAATCCTAAACACCCCCAGCATACTATCAGTTGTGATCGTCATAATCCTGCTTCTGCTGCTTAACAGCATTTGAGAAGCTAGCAAGACCACGTTGCTTGTGAGAGCTGTTAAAGATAAACTCTGATTACGCAGCGGCAGTGCAGACCTGAGGACAGGCAATCAGAGACACCATCGGTGCTCTCTGCCCAGGGGGCCAGCAGAGCCATATGCATCCCTGGGTGCTCATGTGCAGCCATCTGGGGAGGAAGGAAATTAGTGCCTCCCACCGCAGCATCTTCTGTTGGCTGCACAGAGATGAACAGGAGCCAAAAAATGGGAATTTTGGTTTTGGATTATCTTTGACTGACCAACTCCAAGTTTAAGAGAGCAATTCTGACACAAACTGATGCTCCCTCAGGTATTTCCATATTCATACAAAAGAGTCTGGATTTCTCTCTTCCTCTTTCATTGCCTCCAGGAGTTTCCTCCCTTAAACTTTATTTACTTTCATGTTTTTATGGGATTATTTTTTTCTTGAAGCCATATTCCAAAGCTGACACTGATGTATTTCTAAATAATATTTTACTTCAGACAATTCCAATATTGATTTAACACTGTGTTCCTGGAATCTAACTCTTGATAGCAGAGCTACTGCAACATTACGCTAAACACTTGTGACAATGTGACCCTTGATGCCAACATCACAGTAAACAGAACTCCAGCTGATTCCACAGGAAGAGCTATTGAGGAATATATGGGCACATTTCAGATGTTCTGCAATTTCAGTCTGTCAGTAGCACAATCACTAGGAACTCCGCTATCAAAATCCAAATTTTCTAAAAACTCCCTGTCATCTGAAAAATGGTCGTGTCCCCTGACATCTATTAATTGAACTGAAAATTTCCTCATTATTCAAAATGTCGATTATATGAACTTATTCAATCTCTCCCCTGACAATTGGATAATCAAGGCTGTATTACATATGGGCCATTCTTGCAAATCTTTGAAGACAATTGACTACCCTCATGAGTAAAGGTTTGCAAGATCAAGCCATGTAAAACATATGAATAACCTTCATCAAAAATAACTTCAAAATAATTGGTTGTATATGATCAAGTGCTAGTATCAATGAAAGGACATCACGATAAGGCTTGAGTATATAGCATAGGTCTTTGCTAATACAGTGTTACTAATACTTGATATTGATCACTGGGACCATCTGAAATCTCTTAAGCAACTTAACTGCTTTTTCTTTTGAGAAAATTAGTATAAGTTTCACAAAAGGCTTCTTTGTGGAAATATGATTGTTTAAAATTTTTGACTACTACTGCCCTTTAACTCTTTTGCATAAGTTGCTCCAGTTCATCATTGTAAATACTTCAAAATCTTGATAAAGTCAAGCTCATTAAAATAAAGAGGGAGGGAAAAAAAAAAAAAAAAACAAAACAAAAAACAACAATATTAATTTCCAGAACAAAAATAAAACAAAGTTTGGAAGCTCAAGAGATTAAGACAATTTTACCATCAAGTGCAGTAAGCTACATCACCCTTTCTGTCATGGGGTACCCAATTCTGGAAGGGGGGAAATGTTTGCATGTAGCATCAGCAAAAGAAATAGAACTTCTGCTCAATTAGTCATGCCAACAACATTACTACTTTAACAAACAGTTGTGTATGCAGGGGTAGGTGCTTAATTCTGCAGCAACCTGGACCTAAGAGAACTTCTGTACAAAATTCTACTCGTGGCAACCTATCGGATGGGAATCAACAGCACAAACTTCTTTCTTGTCAGTTCTTTTAACAGTTAAAGGCACTACAGGTTTTTTTTTCTTTATACACTTGTCCTGGGTTGAGTGAGTGATGGGGTTTTTTGGTAGCAGGGGAGGGGGCTACAGAGGTGGCCCCCTGTGAGAAGCTTCTCAGAGCTCCCCCAGCTCCAAGTCAGCTCCACCTCTGCACCAAAACTGAGCCAATCAGCTGCACCTCTGCGATAACGTATTTAAGAAGGGACGTGGTGACGTGCAGTGGGACTTGTGAGGAGGAGTTGCTGCAGCTGCATGAACACCAAGGTCAGTGGGGGAACGGAGGAAGAAAGGAGGGGGGAGGTGTGCCGGAGCAGAGACCCCCCTGTATCCTGTGGGGAGACGGCAGGGCGGCCCCCCCCTGCCACCCATGAAGATCTACAGTGGAGCAAACATTGATTTATGGCCCATGTTTGTCGCCTGGTTGATCAAGGTTCTGTGCCCGAGGAAGGCCGGGGTCTTGTGGGAAAAGGCAGCCCCGCTGCTATAATTCAGTGCTGGGAGGATTGCAGCATGTGGGGGAGTCCCACACCGGAGCAGCTCGGGCAGGGCTGCAGCCGTGGGAGGGAATCCAGTCAGAGACAGTTTGTGGAGGACTGTCTCCTGTGAGAGTGGGACCATAATGGAGCAGGGGGAAGAAGTTCCAGCATCTTCCCCCCCCCAAGATGGCAGAAGTGGCAGCGCTGACTGCCCCCCCCATTCCCTGCCCCTGCACCACTGGGGCAGGAGGTAGAGATATCGGGAGCAGAGCTGAGCCCGGGAAGAAGGGAGGGGTAGGGGGAAGGTGTTCTCAAGATGTGGCAATGCTTCTCACTGTCCTACTCTGTTACATGTTGTTAGTGTCTGTAATAAATGTATGTTCTTTTTTCCTTCCCCTAGCAATTCCGCCTTTTGCTTGTGACCATAATGGGTGATCTGCCCCCCCAGTTCTATCTCGAATCCCAAGCCTGGTTCATTTGTCCCTTTTCATTGCCAGAAGAGAAGTGAGGAGTGAGCAGCTGCTTCGTGTTGGGCTGCTGACCAGGCTCAAACCATGACAACACTGACGATTATATACTCTGTACTCAGCACTGAGGAACACCATAAATATACTTTACAAAATCTTTTAGCATCCTGTGTGTGTCTAAGGAAAGAAATAAACTATTGTTTTGCAGACTACTGACTTCTTCTTTCTTTGGCTGGGTAAGTCAAGTTAAGTCCTGAACCCACAAATACTTTCCTCCACAACTACCAATTCCTACAGCATGAGCAGCAGTACAGAGCTGTAAACACAAGCCAGCCTTCACTCTGGAACAGTGCCTCAAGTTTAGCTTCTAAGCTTCACTTGTTCTTTAGCTACACAGCACAACTACTGCAGGCAAAGTCTATGGAGAAAAGAAGATGCTTTTACTTGTGTCCTGCAGGTCCTCCAGGTTTGGGTCTATCCCCCTGAGGTATCATGTCACACTTTGGCCCAGCAGAAATTTCTTGAGGAAGTTAACAACTTGACACAGGAGGTCATAAATAAAACTTACATTTACACTGAACACTGTACATGGACCTATAGGTACTGTGCCAGGCACATAAATAAATGCAAAGACCGGTATTCTTTGCTGACAAAGACATAAATGAGTATTACCGACAGAAACATTTTATCTTTCTCTTGGGATTTTGCACCCCATATGTACTGCATATTAGGCTCAGTTAGAAAAGGTAACAGGCCCATATGTCTAAATGGCAGCATTGTACAACCTACAAAAACCATGCTGAAGGATGGAGGCAAGCACTGTTAGGGTTAATCTTGAAAAAACAATATATTAGAAATCCTCAAATGCTGTTGTTTTCCATCTGCTGCAAATGCATAAAATCTGAAAGAGGCATCTTTTCAACTTTATATTATTTACTAAATGCACACTACTGGCAATGCCCATCTAGGGATAAGTCCAAACCACAGCACTCCAACACAACAATTTATTCCAGCAGCAAAGAAAAAAATTGCACTCTGTTCTCTAAGCATTATACACTTTGCTTTAGGGCATAAGCCATACATTCAGCTCCCCAGCAGG